TTATATTATGTAAAGGAGTTGAGGAATTTGTTGTCTTGGGAGGCACTTTAGATGATGCTATGGGTGAAGCTTATGACAAGGTAGCAAGGTTGTTAGGGCTTTCATCAGGAGGTGGTGGAGGAGCATTGGTGGAGCAGTTGGCAAAAGATGGAAATTCAGAAGCCTTTCATCTTCCAGTTCCGATGTCGAAAAGGAGAGACATGAATTTTTCGTTTGCTGGCTTGAAAACAGCGGTTTCTTTGCTTGTTCGAGATTTGGGTGGAACAGAGATGTTGAAAGAGCGTCCTCAATTGAGAAATGATATTGCTGCCTCGTTTCAAAAGGCGTGCGTTTTACATCTCTATGAAAAGACCCAAAGAGCACTGGAGTGGTGCTTAGAAAATGAAAAAGATACGAAAGACTTGATACTTTCCGGAGGAGTGGCAAGCAATGAGTCTATTCGTTCATGTTGTCAGCAATTAGCAGAAAAATTTCATTTCCAGTTCGGTGTTGCTCCACATCAGTGGTGTACAGATAACGGAGTCATGACGGCTTGGGCTGGAGTCGAAAGATTGCGTTTCGGTATTCAAGATAATATCAAAGAAATTGACGTACAAGCAAGATGGCCTATTGGAAAATTTCATCAGGAACAGCAGTAGTTGCTTTATTAAAAAGAATAAGTATCACGTCTGCGTTGGTTCAGTTTCCATTGCATCACCTGAGTCCTTGTTCTCCGTGCCTTTTCCATTCTCTACACCTTTTTCATTTTCTGCGGTTTCAGTTTGCATCTTTTCTGAAGAATCCTTTTGGGCATCACCATTTCCCGATGATGATTGCTCCTTGCTCTTCTTTGGTGGAGCAGGTTTAGGACGATACATAATAGGATGACAAAACTGTTCGACTGCCTTGCTCTTTTGTCGAATTTGTGCTACAGTAACTGGACAGTCTTCATGTTTCTGCAGTTTCTCCAGAAGAGGGACTTGTTTAGCGAGCCAATTTTCTGTTTCTTGTGTCTTGTCCGTAACCTTCTTTCTATCTTCTTCTGTGATATGTTCAAACTCGGCACTAGTAGAGGAAGCCAAAGAACGATACATATCACAAACTCTTTGCAGTTCTGCAATAGCTTCTGGTCTTGTCTCCCATTCAAACTTGCGTTGGACAATGGCATCCCCTCTACTCTTAATAGAAGCTAGTTTTTCCGTAAACACACTTTTCGAAGCACTGGAAGCTTCATCACTATAGATCCAGTTTTCCAGAGAGTCTAGTTCTTCTAATAAGCGAACTCTGTCTTCGCTTAAAACAAAGTCCTTCAAAGGTCCACCATATTCTGATAAATTATTTCTCATATCATACACGTACGATTCCAAAGAATTCAACGCATCACTTCTATCTCGCAAATAGCGGTCACGCGCTCGCATCTCCAATTCTGCTGCACGTGCTGTTTCCACTTGACTATCACTGAAACCACCAAAACAAAGAGTTTCATCAAATTTGAGATCTATCTGCTTTGTCTTAACTTTCTTGATCTGTGAATCAGGCTTTCCTTTTTCTGTAGTTTCCTTGTTCTCCGTCTCATTCGCAGTGTTGTTGCTGTCAGACATTGCTGCTGAGTGATCGGCTTGTAAATTTTCAGTCGAATTTCCTTCAACTTTAACAGTAACATTGCCGTTTTGTTCTGATTGAACGTTGGGGTCTCCCTTTTCTGCGTTGGAATTTGCTTGATCGGATATATCCATCTTATCATTAGTCTTCTCTGGGTTCTCTCTTTCATTGGAAACACTATGTTTTCCTTCTTCATTCTTCTGGACTTGCTCCTCGAATTCTTCAAGTGAATAAGCAGAGTGCAAAGCAAGAATCCCATCTGCAGTGAGCTTTACTCGAACTCGCACTCTGGCCATATCCTTCTCACTATCTTTCTTTTTGGGAGCTTCTAACACAAACTTCGTTATCCCACTCCCACCGATAGGCGCGACCTCCGAATTCTCATAATATCCAGTAAGTTCAACTGGAGCATATGGTACTGTAAAGGTTAGTTGTTTCAAGCTTGGAATAGGATTGAATCTCGTGAACAACTGAATACGTTCCTCTGAATCTTCACAACGCTTATGAATCGATATTGGGTAAGGCATCACATCTTCCACAGCATATGGTCGAACACGAAACGCTGGAGAAATAATGGCACCCTGCAAGGCACATCCTCTACCAACTGTTTCTTCTGCATTCAGTGTTTTCATTACACTTCTTCCAAAAAATTGCTCCAAGGCATTTTGCAGAGAAGGAATTCGGGAGCTTCCTCCGACAACTTCGACAGATTGAATATCTTGCACCTGCACGTTCGCGCCTTCCAATGCTTTCTGACACGTCAAACAAATTCTCTTGATAAGTTCTTCTGACATTTGTTCGAATTCTGAACGTTTCAGATAGCCAGAAACATCAACATCATTCATTATACATTCCACATTTAAAGGAGCTTCCGGATTGGCACTTAAAACTTTCTTAAGCTTCTCACATGCCACTCTAAGACGAATAGTTGCACGAGGATTACTTCTAATGTCAAGCTTGTATTTTTTGTCAAACTCTGAAGCAAAATGATCGAATAATACTTCATCAAAATCTCTTCCACCCAAGTTGCTATCAAAAGCTACAGAATAAACTGTAAGCTTGGTCTTCAGAAACCCAACAATTGATACAGTGGTCGCTGAATTCCCAACATCAACAATGGCAACTTTATAAGGGTCACTATCCGGCAACTCTGCCGTTCTATAGAGCCCATAACTCAACGCTGCAGCAGCATGTTCGTGGAAAAGACGCAATGTATTAAACCCTGCTATCTTTGCGGCATCCTTCATAGCACGACGTTGAGCGTCAGTAAAGTACGCTGGTATAGATATTACACAATCCTTGACAGTGGACCCATATTCTGCGGAGGCGGTTTCTCCCAAGTTTGTCAGTATCATTGCAACGATAGCTTCGGGAGAGAAGATTTGCTTCTCTCCGTTTGCCCCATATTGTACACGAATTCCTGTTCTTCCGTCCTCTTCTTTCACTATCTCAAAAAAGCTTCTCTTCAGCTGACGTTGCACTTCGGGGTCGTCGTATGCACGTCCCAATAGTCTCTTCACCTCAGTCACAGTATTTTTAAAGTTCTGTACTACCGAACTAACGGCACTTTCCCCAATACTTCTAGATTCCCCCGAAAAAGCCACCAAACAACTAGTTGACAAGAGCTTCTGTCAGCCTAAAAGAGCAACTATAAAGTCCAACTTACGGTGTCGTCCTATTAGACACTTCATTTGTGCACACATCGATACCTCCTCTTCTTGCTATAGCTACCAAACAGTTTGCATTTCCAAAGTCAAAACCAGCACAGGACATATCAGCTTGTTGCTCTGCCCACCACCACTTTCAACAAATTCAACACCGACGTAACATTTCCAAAAAATCCAATTTGAAACTCAATTCGAGGCTCTTCTACATGCTTCGATAAGTTTCTATAGCGCCAAAATTGCATTTTTCTTTATTCTGTAGAATAGAAGAATGCAGTTAACTGTGTATATGCTACTTCAATAATTAGATACTTTTGGTCTTGTTCTGTTTACATAGAATACGCTGTACATCTTAAAGAAATAAATCTCCATTTCTACTATCATATTTTTTGTATTTGTAGACGATATAAAACTCACATTCTTTGGACGATGCTCGAGATACTCCATTTAAAAATGATTCATGGCAGTAACACTATTCACTGATTCAATTGTGGCATCATTTCTTTCTTGTTTTTTCATAGAGGACTTTGCAAAGTTCATTTGACTTTTGCTGCAACTCGAAACCTTATCTGAAATACAAAAGTCTCTACTTAAGTGGAATATCTAGTTTAACAGCAATACAACAAGTAGTATGAAAACTCAGTATATGATGTACGATTTGGTGGTAGGTAGTTGGGAATTCCATCATTGTGTAGTTTTGCTGAGAGAGAGAGAGAGAGAGAGAGATGAGTAGTTACCGGGGAAGACGTGGACGAGGTTTGTAGAACTTTGAGAAAACAATACAAACTGAAAGGGCAATTAGGTTATCGTGATCGCGAATTGGAGTTTGAAACAAGTAGAGAAGTAAAGGCAATTCCTTCTTTTGAAGAGTTGGGACTTAAGAAGGAATTGCTTCGTGGCATTTACAGTTATGGTAAGTTTGGTGTACGCTCAAAGGGTTTTCAAAAGTGATAAGAAAACCAATACTAGGTTTTGAGAGACCTTCGGCCATTCAACAAAGAGCTTTGGCACCTGCTTTGAAAGGTAGGGATGTAATAGCTCAAGCTCAATCCGGCACCGGCAAAACCGCCATGTTATCCGTAATTGCTCTGAACAGTGTTGATATTAAGACACGAGAGGTGCAAGTACTGATTCTTTCCCCTACACGTGAGTTGGCACAGCAGACTCAACACACACTCTTGTCTCTTGGAGAATTTATGAACGTCCAGTGTCATGCTTGTATTGGAGGGAAGAATCTAGGAGAGGACATTCGCACGTTGGATTATGGTGTTCACGTCGTTTCCGGTACTCCTGGGAGAGTTTTCGACATGATCCAGCGTCGAAATTTGCGTACTCGGTCGCTTCGTTTATTTATTATTGACGAAGCCGATGAAATGCTGTCGAGAGGGTTTAAAGAACAAATCTATGAAGTATATCGTCATTTACCTCCATCGATTCAAGTTATTCTAGTTTCTGCTACGTTGCCACACGACGTTTTAGAGATGACCTCAAAGTTTATGACGGACCCTGTCAGGATATTGGTAAAGCGGGATGAGTTGACCTTGGAAGGTATCAAGCAATTTTTTGTGGCTGTTGAGAAGGAGGAATGGAAGTTTGACACATTATGTGACTTGTACGAAACACTTACAATCACCCAAGCCGTTATTTTCTGCAACTCGAAGCGCAAAGTGGACTGGCTGACGTCAAAATTACGAGAGAACAACTTTACGGTTTCGTCTATGCATGGAGATATGAAACAGAGTGAAAGAGACGCTGTTATGGCCGAGTTTCGTAGTGGCAAGTCAAGAGTTCTTATAGCTACAGATATTTGGGCGAGAGGTATCGACGTGCAACAAGTTTCTTTGGTAATCAATTATGATATTCCATTAAACAGAGAAAACTATATTCACCGAATTGGTCGGTCGGGGCGCTTTGGACGTCGAGGAGTTGCTATTAATTTCGTTACGAATGAAGATGTTGCTATGTTGAGAGATATCGAACAGTTTTATAGTACTCAAATCGATGAAATGCCAATGAACGTTGCTGATTTAGTATAATGATGTTGACAAGAAGTTTTCCAAGTATTGACTAGAATGGCCAACATAATAGAAACGAGGTTTTTCTCTTTGTTCTTAATTATGAACGTTAAAATATGGCAATTGTAGTTGAGGCTATTGTTACTTGTGAGATTCTCTTCGAGATGAATGTCTATGTCGTCTTTTACGTCTTCTGTCTTCGTCTGAAGAAGTTTGATGTCTCCTCCTATCACGAGAGGATGACCTTTTTCTTCGAGAAGTTGAATGATGTCTACGTCTGCGTCTATGCGATTCAACTTCCTTTCTACGCTCTTTGGAGTCTGTCTCAATGTCCTTATTCGCCTTGATACTATTCCTCGAGGGTGACACAAAAGCAACTTCATCTTCCCCTCGGAGCTCACCTTCCTCCTTCATAGTATTTAATGCTGGAGAATAATGCTCCTCTTCCACTTCATTCGCTAGCTTCAACTCTTCTTGGTTCATGAAAGGGCGAATTGGCGTTTGTTGTGTCACTGGTTCTTCTTCCGTCCGGGAGTTGCGAAAAACATCTCCAGGTTGATAGTCGTCGTCAAGTCCCAAAGCATACTTCAATTTGAGGTTTTCTTTCTCTTTGGCCAAAGACTTGCGGTGAGTGTCGTAGTCACGGAAAGTCGGCCTGCTTTCAAGTTGTAAGCCCAAAGTAGGTTCCTCTCGAGCAAACCCCACCTGAAGTCCACGTCTCTTATCTTTGCTTTCTTTTAAACTCGCTTTCTTCCATTTTTGTGCTTCTTCAGCTATATTTTGTAGGAGGTGATTGATACTTTCACCCTTGTCCACTGCCAAGTCCACCTGACTCTGATTCATCAACTGTGTTCTAACCTTTGAAACGAGCTCCTTTATTTGTTCTTCATTTAAAATGTTTTCATTTCTTAGCTTTTCCTCCAACTCCAACGACAGTACCACTGCCTTTCGGCACCTTTCATGTTCCAAAATATCAGGGTCAGGTTTGCGTACAACGGACTCTCGTTCCAATGTTTCGTCGACTGTTTTATTAGCTACTTGATATCCAATGCGACGAGAAGGACCATGAAGACTCACATTTGCTACGTTACGTTGAACATAACCGTTGGTACCTGAACCTCTAGGTGTAGGTAATCCAATACCGTTGTACATTTAACCAATTACACTATGTGTACAAGCAAAATGTGATAAAATGTATCAACACAAAAATTCAAGGAACGACCAACTCAATAGGATATATAGATGTGTGTGTGTGTGTTGTATGCAAAACCAAAACTTCACTAGAGTACAAACTAAGCCACCTTTAAAATAACAAACTATTCAAGAACAACAACTGGACGATTCTTTCACTTCTTGAGCGTTTGCACCTACATGGATACCAGAAGAAGTTTTTTGAGTCTGAGGCTGACTGGCCATTCTAGAGACAAGAGTTTAACTCAAACCATGCCAACTATGTCTAGTCTCCTTACCTCTCTTTGATTTCTTGTGCCATAGTAATGAAGGCTTGTTCGACATTCTCTGAAGTTTTTGCAGACGTTTCCAGAAACTTGATTCCCAAAGAATCCGCAAACTCTTTAGCAGTAGCTGTGTCTACGACCTTTTTCGTGGTCAAATCATTCTTGTTTCCAACGAGAAGTTTGTTCACACTCTCATTCGCATATCTATCAATTTCGTGCAACCAAGTCTTCACATTGTTAAAGGATTCTTGGTCTGTGACGTCTATTAGAGAAAGCTTCAATCATAGTTCTCCAATAAGAGAAAGCAAGGGTCCTACCATAGACGATGATGATTCCGTGAGCACCTCGATAGTAAGACGAGGTTATGGTACGGAATCTTTCTTGTCCCGCAGTATCCCATATCTGAAGCTTGACAGTTTTCCCGTCGAGTTCTATGGTACGAATTTTCTAGTCAAGTAGAGTTTTAGAAACAACCAATATTGAGAGAATACAACTTACAAAATCTACTCCAATTGTTGAAATGTAACTCTCGTTGTAAGTGTCGTCGGCAAAACGCAACAAGAGACAAGATTTTCCAACTCCAGAGTCTCCTATGAGTAACAACTTGAAAAGATAATCACTATCCCTAGTTGGACCAAATAAAACAATCATTTATCCCCATATCAACTTACTATTCCGGGTTCATCTTTGTTCAACGCTAATATGCCGTTTCCAAAAAAAGGCGGCTAAGTTTCCAAAAGGAGTAAAGACACCCAAGAAAAGATAACAATGCCAATATTTCAATTTCCAACAAAAGGAGGAATGGATGGGAAGAACTAAGACTGGCAACAAAACGTTGTTGATGATGAGTTTTAAGGGTCACAACTCGTTTTATTTTTTTCAAAAGTCTCTTTTTGTAGTTTGTTCCTTCGTTGGTTCAATATATGATTGACATTCCCAGCAACGGGAATCATGAGACTTGTTTTATCAGCAGGTAATGGAGACGCACTAGGATTATCTAAACTTTTAGGTAAAAGCCATTTGACTTTCATTCCAATACTACACAATCTGTTGATCCATTTGGGAGCACGTTTTCCAGTGAGGTACAAACATAACAAGTCCGAAAAATGATTGCAATTTCTACGCAACAGTGAAAAGGTATTACCACGAAAACTATCTGCCAATATCTGTACAACTAGAAACACTTCATTGGGACTTAGAGGCGTGTTTCCCATATAAATACTTTGTCTATATGAGGCACCTTGCGCACGTCTAGGCTCCACGTGAAATACTCCTGTATCACAACTTTCAGAACCTCCAAAACAAAACTCTACCCCATAAACCTAACCAGAAATCACTCAGCAACACAACGGAACATAAAGAATCCAACCTCTACACCAGAGTGATAGAAACCTACTCCTATCTTACGTAGGTAAGCGTTCATAGCAGTAAAACGTTCAGGATTTTCAGGGTCTATCAGGTCATATACGTTAAGATATACCGGCTCACTTTATAGAATATGTTAACAACAAACCAAAAAGGAGTTGGAACAAAATACCTATACTGTTGTTGCAAAGAAACAGAGCTTCCTTCGTTTTCTATTTCTTTCAAATCAAGTGTCCCTGAAGGTCCCACTCGGCAGACCTTTACAAGTTCATATAGACTGAAAGGGTCTAATTGGTTCATGAATAGAAAACCATAAAACCAACCCAACAACAACAATCCATCATCATTTTTATATATCATTCGGAAATACGATTCTTATTTTAAGCTATCATGGAATGAGTTTATTCCAACGAGAAGCATCCATTGCAGTTTATTCACAAGATAAAGTCAACTTGTTCTACTACTTGCAAAGGAATAACGAGATTGCAGGCGATTGGTCACCCTAGTAAAGATGGTCACTACTCCAATAAACAGAAGAATGGTTCCCTAATAAACTAATTGAGTTGAATGAGATAACAGTTCACTGTACTTACCAAAGGAAAATATACATATCCATATGGTGTGCCATCCTCATTTTGTAAGAAATATTCGACGTCCAACCAATGAAAAAGGTCTAGAGGTGGTATTTTAAAGACAAGTCGCCAAAGGGACAGAAACAATATTCCTAATAAAGTGTACAAGATGGGTTTCTGATACTCCGGCAGTATGTTACGTTGATAAATAAAATAAAGACGTTTCCAGGACAAACTACAGGCAAGACGCGAAAAGGAAGACGGAGAGTTGGTTGAGTCTACTGCTTCCCTATGACTAGAAGTAGTTGGGTCACTCATAAGTTGTCCAAACGTTTGCCCTTTCCAAAGCGAGGGAAATCTCTCAACATCATTATACAGCTCTTAGCATTTCTCAAGTCGGCAATGATATTCCTTCTTTCATTCATTAATGACATTGAAGAATACTTTTATTCATATGAATACAACTTGAGGATTCTTGTCGTGTATTCCTCAAACGGTTGGAATAGAAAACCAAGTTTTATTCAAAAGATGTATAATTGTCTTTGTGGAAAGATTTCTTTGTATTTATTTTGGCAATGGGATGGATGAGTCGGCTCTTCGTCAACTCACCGAAGAATATTTCTTATCTTTTACACTCAACAACACAAAAGATTTCAACAAAGCCTAGAAACATTTCTATGCTTGACAACTATATGTTGAGAAGTTGTTCACATAGAGGGTATCCACCAAAGTCTCTTTTGGAAACCAGCCAAGGCAAATTACGATGGACTTTTCGTATTTTGCATACCAAACACTTTCACTCCCAACCAAATGAAAACAAAGATTCATTAGAGAAGCCTATTCAATGGAAGGAATCAGCTTTGAACAAAACCCAAACAGAAGATTCTTTCTATCGCTTACCTATTGGCAGTTTGGAAGAACAGTCAGAAATAGTAAATACTTCTTCCGGTATTTATGATCATTTGATAACTTTTTGGCAAGGATATGTCAATACAAGTGCTAATGTGCTCGAATTCCTGTACGAAACCCTGGGTGTTCCATGGTTTGCTTTGATTGGGATGACAACAATTGCAGTAAGACTTTTGTTACTTCCCATTGCAATAGGTAGTATGCGTTCTATTGCAGTAATGAAGTGCCTCAAACCACAGTTGGAAGAGATATATAAGAGAACGACAGACGCTACTAGTCGACAGAACGATGAAAAGTTACTTGAACTGAAAAATGAATATTTAAAATTGATGAAGAAATATAAAGCAGATCCTTTGAAGAACTTTTATGCACCATTGATTCAAACTCCTATTATTATGTCGCTGTATTGGGGAGTTCGAAGTCTGACTAAAAGTAACCCTATCTCGTTATCGGAGGGTGGCATAGGTTGGTTTCAAGATTTGACGGTACCCGATCCTCATTATATTCTTCCTTTGCTTTGTTCTACTATTTATTTGATTACTTTGCGGATTGCAAAGGATACTATGGCAGTTACGAGTAATGAAACTGCATTGTTTGCTGTACGAGTAATCACCATTCTGTGTTTTCCATTGACATTGAAGGTACCAGCATTGATATTTTGTTACCTTTTACCCAACAGCTGCTTTACCTTTTTGTTGAATTGGATATTGAGATATCCCTCTATTAGGCAAAGATTGGGGTTTCCTACTTTAGATGGTCAACTGCCATTGAAGCATGACAAAGATACAAAAGAGAATAACACTTTACTCAATCTTTCCAAAGCAGAAAGAGAAGCAATGGCGGCTCTATCCTACCTCAAGACAAGTCGTTACTCATCTTTACTGTTTGCAGCAAAAAGAGGAATCAAACCTCGGCTATCAGACAAACCCAAAAAATCCCATTCTTGATAACTTTTTATCTTTTATGCAGATGTATATGCCATCCATGACCCTCTTCATCTAGTTGTTGTTGTTGATAAGGAGTATGTGAATGTTTCATTGCCGAAGGATCCCCATGATAATGATTGTCTTCAACAAACAAAGTACACCAAATGATAAATAAAAGACTTCCTAATGCAGCAAACGTAGCAGAAGCTATCCATAGATAGAGAAATTGTTGAGGTGCATTTAGTACGAGTCCTGCTGCAATTAGTCCCAAGTATGCTGCATTGGTAAGTACTCCTTCTGCTGCTCCCATTCTGCCCCTTTCAGTTGTATCGGTGTATCTTTGTAAATAGAGAGATTCTCCCAATTCGTAGCTATATAAGCCAACCCTAGATAGGACAATCAAGGCCAAAGAAACAAACAAACTCCATCCAACTACACTCGACCAAATAAAGATACAAGAAGATATCAACGTGATGGTTTCCAAAAGGATAGATACCAGACAAGTCATTTGTAGTCCCCAGATTTTCTCTAACCAAGGAAAGACAAGTGTTCCAAGGAATCCAAAAATGGCACCACTAGCACGAAAAATACCCAGTACATAATGAGAGACTTGTTCTTCAGCTAAATAAGAAGTTAATAAAATGCCATGAGGTGATGTCGCATTAAACCATAAACAACCATAAGCTAACAAAACTAAATTCAACGGATGTCGAATGAATATTGAAAAGCTGGATGCTACTCGGTCATCGAGATCGCTTTGTTGTTGTTCATTATCTACAACGCCTTCGACAGACATTTCTTGAGTGGTTACTGAGCTGGTATACCAGTTATCAAGAGAATTAATCCACCGCAACATTCCATATTCCATGAGAAAACTAATAACGTTGAAACCACCAACGCATAGAATAGAGTAAATAGCTGAGGAAATATTACTCGTGGTTACAAACCAGCCAACAAGTATAGGTGCTGATATTTCAGACAGGAGGTCGATTCTTCTCAAAAGGGCATTGAAATTTGCCAGGTTCTCCGAATCAACTATTTCTATTATCCAATCACGCTCCACAGAAACCCTGGTAAGAAAGGCGCCAATAACCTCACCACTTCCAACGATCGATAGCAAGATAAATAAGCTCTTGGCTTCCCAAGAACAGTGTTGCTGAAATAACCAGTCCATTAAATTACCTTGAAAACAAGCAGAGACACCGATATTCTTCAAGAACAATGAGAACAGGCTAGTAAGCAGTGTAACAGAACAAACAGAAGTCAATGCGCCAATTCGAATAACTTGGATTCTTTCGTGAGAGTCTATGTAGACACCCAGTCTTGAACCGAAAGCCAACGTGATGAGCCTACCACAAATTGCATAGAACGAAGCAACCCAAAGTGCTCCTTTTGAAACAACAACAAGAACAAGTGGAACTACAAAGTTCCAAGCTTGGTCACCAAATCGACTTGTAGCATGTCCTATTAATAACAAAGTTTGTTGTTTGTTGTAACACCACCACAACATGAAAACTACAACAATATTGGTCACAAAAGCAAGTTGGAACTCTATAAGATTGTATCCTTCCTTAGTATGTTTAGTTGTATGAACTAAATCATTCAGTCATTGAGAAAAAAAATAATTAATTGCGCGCTTTTTCCATGAAGTTGATGGTCTTGTTATTGCTAGGAAGAGTGGGTTAGGACAACGGTTCCTTTGTGAAAGCTGGTTTCAATGAACGCTCAGCTGGTTACTCTATTAAATCAAATAGCTTCCTCTGTCAATCCTAACGAAAAAGTAGAACTGCTTAAGAAGTTACAAGAGGTTGTTCTTCACAGAGACCCTGCAGCGTTACAAACTGTGTTTCCTTTAGTGTTGGAGTACCAAAGAGACCGTATAGTTTCCGTGAGAGTAGCTGTAGTCGATTTTATTTTAGCGGTTTGTTCGAAACAAGAAGAATATATATATTCAGGTAAGAACAGTTTAAAAGCTGGATTCAAGCTTTTCACGACCAGCTTTTTCTCTAGCATTGGAGAGTCTGCAGTTGATGATAAGTGACCACAGTCCCAATGTTCAAAGAAAAGTAGTTCACACGACACTTCAGTTACTACCCGTAGTACAAAGGGCATTGCTACTTACCGACGTCGTTCAAACCAAACCAAAACGACTGTTTTCTGTTTTGAACCAAATATGCAGGATAGCTTGTCAGTTTACGTTGGAGAAAAATGAGAGTTTGGCCTTGCAAAGTTTGAAACTGATTGAAGCTGTTATCAAACTTTTTTCTCCTTCCAGCAGTGATGACACTAGTAAGCGTCATTCACTATTTGACGGTCTGAAGGAAGGACTTCATAGCATATCCAAGGAAGAAGTGTTCAAAGAAGCAGAACAATTATTGTCAGAGATATTGAAAATTTTTAATCATTCTAGCGTAGATATTATTAATTTTCAAGTTCGATGTGCAGCGATGGCCAGTCTGTTTCATATTATGGAAGAACGTTCTGCATTTGCTAGTAAGATAATCACTGTTGTACATCGTGTTATTCAGGGAGAAGACTCCAACTTGTCTAATGCTCAGAAAGTTACAGAACGGTCATCTTTGAAGAGTTTGTTACTGTCTGCAGTTGCTTTTACATCTTTGCATCAAATACCATCCGTTTTACAAAGTTTAGAGCTTGCATTACGAAACTTGGGCGTAAATGAAAGTATTATAGCTGACTCCAAGAATCGCGTCTCAACTCCTTCGGCAACCCATATGCGACGTCCACCAAAGCGACCATATGCTTCCACATCATCAAGTGTAAAGAATGACTCTGAACAAGAAACGAAGAAACTTCGTAGTCAAAAAGCGATTTCTGTTGCGGAAGCCAAGAGTTTGACAGATTCTCTTGTAAATACTTATCCTTTATCGACATTAGTCGAAATGGTACTGAAGACTATTCTAGAGGTTCCAACTGTCTTACTAGACAAAGAGGAAACTACCAAAGAACAGTCGAGTGTTTCTGGAGAAGCAACAAGTTTGGAAGACTCGAAACCTGCACAAATTGAAGATAGTGGTGCAGTGATTATGGGAGCCACTGGTGCTGTTTCAAAGCTAAAAAGAGATCCCAGACTTGATCCTCGTTTAGCTTCCAAATTGGCGAGAGCTGCATCGTCAACACCTTCTGTAGTATCTCAACAGAATGCAAACAATACTAGTCATAACCAGTCTCAGGTATGGAAAAGAGAAGTTCAATCCACTTCAGAAGTCGTAGAAACCAAAAAGGAAGAAGAAGAACAAGTTGTTCCGCTTTCCATTGGGCATGCCCTACAAAAGCCTCCGATTGTATCTTTACCTAATTACTCGGACGAGATGATGGAACGCTTTTCACAGGAGGCTTGTAAACGTATCCTTTTTGCTGAGAAGCAAGCTGCTATTGGTGGTGGTAATGCATTGCGGCTGGCATTGTTGGGTCGAATGTTGCCGAATTGTAAACAGGATCAATCCTTGTATAAGGAAGCCATTGAGTTTATTTTGGAAAGAATAGAAACACGGTTGGAATTAGCTATTCATTGGCTTTATGGAGAAGCTGCTTTTTGTGTATCATCCGCAGTAAGAGAACTTTATCAAAAACGTGTATTTGATTTGATGAAGAAAGGTCTGAAAGATGAAAGCAGTCCTTCTCTGGATGAGTTATCACGACAGACGGTGAAACAGTTACAAGAAAGATTGCAATCTATGAATGTAGAGTTTTCGAAGAACGCGAGAAAGTCCGAGTTGATTGATTTGGTTATCCTAAATACAAATTCATCAGTTTCTGAAGAACTTGACGCTATTCATGGAGAAGAAAATCGTTTGTTTCCATCCAACACTATGGAACTCGTTGATTTGGAGAAATATGTTTCTGAACGTTACAAAACTCTGTTTCATATCTTTTCCAGAGAAGTTTCTCGTCATCTGACTTCTATGGAAGATTCCTTATTTGCACAATTGTATGTGCAAGTTCCCATTCTGTTTCAAGGAGCAATTGACGAAGTTCGTGCATATATCGAAGATCCTTCAAAGACAACAGCAGTGCTGAACGCTTTGTTAGAAATTATTACGGAACGATCGGGAAGAGATCGAATGCGGTTCGTCGAGGTTATTTTAGACTATTCCGTTCATGAGGACGAAGTATTGAGGGGCCCTGCAATTCGCCTATTAAGTAGTCGCTTATATTCTATAGATTCTCTTGTAGGGACTATTGAAAATTTTGCCAAGGACAAGCTTTTATTTGCTATTCATGAAATAATGAATGAGAAGGAAAGCAATCTTATTACTTTAAACAATGATACAGTGAAAGATACTTCTCCATCGCATTCTAAACCTGCCACTTTAGTTTCTGATTCAGAAAAGTCAGAGTTGTCTCCAGGATGGGAAAAACTGATGGAACGTTACTGTAGCCTTTACGTTGTTTTAAGCTCAAGGAAGCCTCGACTGTTAATATCGTTATTGCAAATATTGGAACAAACTTGTAATGAGCAAGTGATTGGTTTATTCAAAACTTATATTCCAAATCTCTCACGAACACTTGCTGAGGATTCACCGGAACTTGTAGAGTTAGTTGGCAGCCATTCACCTAAAGTGGCATCTTTTGTGTTGGAGCTTTTAGAGAGTTTGATGGATAATGGTAAAAAGACAAGTCCTGAGGTACTAGAAGCAGCTCGCAAGCATTTTCAAGATCCTTATCGACCGGACTGCGATGTGCGATACGCAATTCCATTTATAGATTCGTTTTCCAAAGAAGAACTACTCCGTCTCCTACCTCGTCTGGTAGCATTAGATGGCTCAGAATTTAAACATGCAATATCCAAAACTTTAGGTGCTCGCTTACCCGTCATACAAGCCTCGGAGTTTCTCGTAGAGTTGCATCTATTGGAGCCTAAGCAGGGCATCTGTTCTTTACGAAATGTGATTTATGCTATTCAGTATTGTTTTGAGCTCAAGTCAATATTTACACAAGATGCTGTCGCTACATGCTTGCAACAATTGGTAGAGAAGAGTCCCATTCCGATCCTTCTATTACGAACAGTTATTCAATCCATTCTTCACTTTCCACAATTGCAGAAATTCATCATTTCAGTCATCTTTGCTCGATTGATTGACCGTGAAGTTTGGAAAGAAAGGAAACTTTGGGAAGGTTTTGTGAAAGCTTGTCAAATGACGATTCCTCGTTCTGTTCCGGTTATTTTGAGACTGCCACCGCAGCCACTCAAGGATATGGTTCATCATTCACAAAGTATTCAACAAGCTATTGTGAAATATGGTGAACGAATGAAGGAATCCATACCTCCTTGGCTATGGCCTTTTTTGGAACAGGAATCGAAGAATGGCGACTAGTTCATCATTGCTTAAATCATAGAAATTTCTTGCTGCCAAGGTTTCAACTTGTATGGACGATATTGGCGTTCTTTATCTCCCGAATAATATTAGGAATGCTTCAAGGCTCCATAAAAACTCTCATTCCTTTTATAATAGGGTGGGTGAAGAATTGATTTCAAATTGAGAACAAATATTATTCTACAAGGTGTTAAAGTGTGATATTTATATTTGGATACATCACTGTTGGTGCATACAATGATAGAATTCATCCAATAAAACTGTGTGACAAACTGAACATGTGGAAATGAAACCAGTTTGATGATGCAAGTTGGTGGACGAGTATTGAGTATTCAAAGTCATGTAGTTTCTGGGTATGTCGGCAACAAAGTAAGTAGACGCGATAGCTGCGACTTTGATTGTAAAAGTAAGCGCTATGTTTAGGCAGCTGTTTTTCCACTTCAGTTGTTAGGTTTTGACGTGGATCCCATCCATACCGTGCAGTTTTCTAATCATACCGGTTATTTGGGTGGTTTTCGTGGAAAAAGACTTTTGGGTGAAGAATTTGATCAACTCATCGAAGGTTTAGAGTCCAACTGTCTATTGCAACAAGTGTATGCGTGTATTGGTTGTCTTGAAGAATGTGTTGACGTCGTAAGTAGGGATTATATTTTGCTAGGTTATATAGGTGACCACGAGTTGCTTCTTCACGTGTTTGAAGCAATAACGCGACTCAAGAGTAAGAAACCAAACCTCTTGGTTGTGTGTGATCCAGTCATGGTACGTAGTGCTTTGTATTACGTTTTGTATTATTCTTATCGGTGTAAAGGGTGATCAAGGCAAGTTGTATGTTCCCCGTGACATAGTTCCCATTTATCGAGACCAAGTTGCCACTTTTGCCAATATCCTTACTCCCAATCAGTTTGAGCTATCTATTCTATCCAATTCGTCTGTGGATAGTTTGGAGGAGGCTTTCCAAGCTTGCGAGTATTTACATGAACAACGAAAAGTCGAACATATTGTAGTTACTAGTGGAGAATATAAGGAATTGGATTCTTTTGTTATACTGATTAGTAGTGAATTCGGTAGACATAAACATGTACAGACGGTAGAGAAAATAGCTGGTCAGTTCACAGGAGCTGGTGATTTGAGTAGTGCTCTTATCTTGGGTTGGTTTGTTATTTTGAAAGGTGATATTGTGGCTGCTTGTGAAAAAGCAATGGCAAGTGTACATTCCGTACTAAGAAACACGGCAGCCCATCATCATCAAGTGAATGCTCAATGTCCAATGTTGGAATTACAATTGATTTCCTATCAGTGCTTTTTGCAAAATCCTCCAAAGGATCTTATTGCCACTCAAGTTTATAAAGGATTTTCTTGTCAANAGTTTGTTGACGCCATGAGAACTGCAAAAAGGGTCAATGTGACTAATGCAGGCGTCATTAAAAAGGTATCAGGTCCTGTTGTTTCTGCTGAACACATGGACGGCGCTGCTATGTATGAACTTGTTCGGGTAGGAAACGAACAACTGGTGGGTGAGATCATTCGCTTGGAGGGTTCTGTCGCAACTATTCAAGTATATGAAGAAACATCAGGATTGACTATAGGTGACCCTGTGTTGTGTACGGGTTCCCCCTTGTCTGTAGAACTTGGTCCAGGTCTCATGGGAAATATATTCGACGGAATACAAAGACCGTTGGAGAAAATCGCAGAAAAGAGCAATTCAGTGTTTATTCCAAGAGGAGTAAACGTTCCAGCACTGGACAGAAAGAAAGTGTGGGAATTCAAGCCCGCTGATAATATCAAAGTTGGAGATCCTATTACAGCAGGTGATATTTATGGGATAGTCCCAGAAACTCCTCTTATCGATCACAAGATTATGCTACCTCCCAATCAAATGGGCAGAGTAGTGTATTTAGCACCACCTGGAGATTATACTTTGGATGATACTGTCTTGGAAATTGATTTTAATGGACAAAAGAAAAAGTTCTCTATGGTGCAACAATGGCCTGTAAGACTCCCTAGGCCAGTTACAGAAAAGCTTCGTGCAGATAAACCACTTTTAACAGGACAACGTGTATTGGACGCCCTCTTCCCATCCGTACAAGGAGGAACTTGTGCAATACCAGGAGCATTCGGTTGTGGAAAGACAGTCATTTCACAAGCTTTGAGCAAATTTTCCAACTCGGATGGAATTGTTTATGTAGGTTGTGGAGAACGTGGCAATGAAATGGCGGAAGTTCTGAAGGACTTTCCTGAACTCACTATGACAGTTGGAGATAGAGAGGAAAGTATCATGAAACGAACCCTTCTTGTTGCAAATACTTCCAATATGCCTGTGGCTGCCAGAGAAGCGTCCATTTACACAGGAATTACGGTTTCGGAGTATTATAGAGATATGGGCTTAAATATCAGTATGATGGCAGATTCAACTTCCAGATGGGCAGAAGCATTGAGAGAAATAAGTGGAAGACTAGCAGAAATGCCCGCTGATAGTGGTTATCCTGCATATTTGGCAGCTAGATTGGCAAGTTTCTATGAAAGAGCTGGTAAAGTGTCTTGTCTAGGCTCTCCTAAACGACAAGGTTCCATAACTATTGTTGGAGCTGTATCACCTCCAGGTGGTGACTTTTCCGATCCAGTAACTTCAGCCACTCTAGGAATCGTTCAAGTATTTTGGGGGTTGGATAAAAAGCTGGCTCAACGAAAACATTTTCCTGCAGTAAACTGGTTAATCTCCTACTCCAAATACATGAAGGCATTGGAACCTTATTACGAACAGAGTTTTCCGGATTTTCTGAATTATCAACAAAAGAGTAGAGAGATTCTTCAAACAGAAGATGATCTGATGGAAATAGTACAATTGGTGGGAAAGGACTCGTTAGCCGAAAATGACAAGATAACCCTGGAAGTTGCCAAGATGATACGCGAGGATTTTCTTGCACAAAATTCTTTTACGGAATATGATCGGTTCTGTCCATTCTATAAAAGTGTTCTTATGTTACGGAATATGATTCACTTTTATGAATTGGCAAACAAGGCGATTGAAGGAGCTGGTGAACAGCATCTAACGTTGGCACAGATAAAGGAACAAATGGGCGAAACGATTTACAAGATTTCTGGAATGAAGTTTCTAAACCCCGCAGATGGTTTGTCTCTCCTTTTTTTTCTGATTGATAGGTCTGACTTTGTTTTTAGGTGAAGATGCTTTGAGAACTAAGCTTGACGCGTTGTATTCGGAGATTACAGAAGGCTTCAATAGAATTGAAAATAGTTTGTAAATTTGCATCTTATTGGACAAGCCATTTTTATTAAGAAGAGTTCAGCAGTGAATACATGAACGAAGTTGAGATCCTTCAGTAATATATCCCATATGGATAAAAGTATAATGACTAGTTGTTTTATCTCTCAGAGCTATTTTTTTATAGTCCAAAACTTCTCTTTTAGCTTTTTTAGTCGCACGAGTTGTACTCGAAAGATACTGGTTCACTTAGCAAGAAATAATGGAGCTGGAACGATACTATTTCTCGTTGAAGTTTAGAAAGTGCACAACCAACCATAATGATTTCATTTATGACATTGTATCTGCGCAAAGTGTCTACATGACATTCTTAATCATTGTTTCGAGCATAAATGGAAACCACTAGGACTGGTTGTTTAGTTGAAGAACTTCAAGTCCCATATATACCCAGTCCAATACAATAAAAGATGAATGAACCCTCATTTTTTCCCGATTCCATCAGAAAGAAAAAATTTTCAAACAATTGGGCGCCACTTTTTTAAGGTTTTTTGGCGCTTTTTTAGAACAATGACAGAGTGGGATGCTCAACCAGTTTATTATGGAGCTCCAACATTTCAAAATAATGAAAAAAGTATACCGGAACTGTCAAGATACGCTGCAAAGGAAAAATTTCGAGAGTTTTTCTTGCACTATACTTCCAATGAATCTTGTTTCAAATACAGAGAAAGGCTTCAACGTGCCATCAACTCAGGAGATAACCTCCTAGAGCTATTTCTAGATGACTTGCACCGTTTTGATGACGATATTGCAAACTTGGTTCGAACTCATCCAGAAGACTATTTATATTTGGTGCGAAAACAACAATAAATATGATACAGTGTGAACTGAAATTCCCTTCTAGATGGAAAGGACTGCGGAGGAAGCGGCACAGCACATCTGCTCCGTTGATGCACTACAAGACAGAACACCGAAAGCTCAACTACAAGTTATACTGTCAAGTTCTGAAAAACCTATGGCGATTAGACAAATCAACGCTACAAATATTGGAAAATTAACTTGTATCCGAGGTATTGTTATTTCGTCTTCTCGAGTACGAGCAAAGGCAACAACTATAACTATATGCTGTAAGAATTGTCAGGTAAAAAAGAACATTTCAGTTAAGCCAGGATTGGGTGGATTCTCAATTCCAAGAACCTGTGATAGTCCGGTTGTCGAAGGAATGGAGCCTTGTCCTCTGGATCCTTTTGTTATCGTTCCGGACGAATGTGAGTATGCTGATCAACAATCCTTGAAACTTCAAGAGTTGCCAGAAGAAGTTCCAACTGGTGAAATGCCACGAAGTATTCAACTCGTTGTAGATAGAAAGTTAGTGGGTGTTGCTGTCCCAGGAACTCGGATATGCGTGTTGGGTATATATTCCATATCTTCCAGTGCACCTTCAGGCACATCGATTTCCGGGACTCTCAACACCTCCATGGTAAGAAATCCATACTTAAGAGTGGTAGGAATGTCAATGGAAGGGACAGATCCACTCTATCGTTTTACAACAAATTCTGGAGTAACCGGTGACGATATCAGTCTATTGCAACACGATGATGAAGAACTCATGATTAGAATATCTCGTATGCCAAATTTATATTCTATTATCGCCAACTCTATAGCTCCAGAAATTTATGGACATGAAGACATTAAAAAGGCTATCGCATGTTTGCTCTTTGCCGGTTCTACAAAACATTTGCCTGACGGTATGCGGATTCGTGGTGATATAAACGTATTGCTCTTGGGAGATCCTTCTACGGCAAAGTCTCAACTTCTAAAGTTTGTAGAGAAAGTGGCTCCAATTAGTGTCTATACCTCAGGAAAGGGCAGCTCTGCCGCAGGTTTGACTGCGTCAGTGATCCGAGATGCCGCATCAGGTGAATTTCACCTAGAAGGAGGTGCAATGGTATTGGCAGATGGAGGTGTCGTCTGTATCGATGAATTTGACAAAATGCGACTGGCAGATCGAGTAGCCATTCACGAGGCGATGGAGCAACAGGTGAGCTTATATAGAAGCGGAATATAGATATACATTGATGTATAATACGTACTTATCCGTTCTCTTTCTCTGTTGTAGACTATTTCTATTGCAAAAGCTGGTATAACAACTGTACTCAACTCTCGGGCAGCTGTATTGGCAGCAGCTAATCCAGCGTTTGGCAGATATGATGACACCCGTGCTGCATCAGAGAATATAGAATTCCAATCGACTATTCTTTCACGTTTTGATTTGATATTTATTGTAAGAGATATCCGCACGGATAGCAGAGATTCAAGCATAGCTAAACATGTGATCGGTTTGCACCGTCAAGGACAAGATACGGGACTATTGGGGAGTTCGTCTCTACAAGGTAGTCCTGAAGACCAGATTATGATCCGAGAAAGTGCATTTGAAGCTGGAAGAATAGACATGAGAACCCTTCGTCGTTTTATAGCTTATGCTCGAAGTCGTTGTTCTCCAAGGCTTACACCTGAAGCCGCTGAACTTCTTAAGAATAGTTACGTGTCCATTCGCCAAGAATTGAGACAAGCAACTATCGAAAGTGACGCAAAAGGAGAAACTCCTCCTCCAGTACCAATAACTGTGAGACAACTGGAAGCAATTGTCCGACTTGCAGAGGCAATAGCAAAAATGTCTCTTTCGGCAGTTGCAAACGAGCACCACGTCCTAGAGGCGTTAAGACTGTTTCGTGTTTCTACTATGGACGCTGCCAACTCCGAAGCTCTCCCGGTAGTTGATGGCATTCTTCGTCCAGAGGTTTGATCTACTTTCTGTTCTTCACGATAGGCATTGACCGTTTATAGGTTCTGGCTGAAGTTCAAAGGGTGGAAGCTATGATCAAGCGCAGACTATTTGTAGGTTCCACGATGTCTGAGAGACGCATGCTCGATGAGATTCTCAAGTCGAGCATAACTGAATTTGCTGCTCGAAAAGCCATCCAAATCATGATCCAACGAGGTGAATTGGAATATCGCAAACAGAGACATTTGATATGTCGTGTTCGATGATAAATCAGAGCTTTGAAAAGGCTCTTTGAGTGTCGCTATGGTGTTGTCATTGTTCTGAAATCGATGGTTATTAATCATGACTCATATCTGTTCAATATTCCAGTACTATTTATTTTCAGTCCAAAAGAATACAGATACTCTATCACAATATCCTTCGTGATTCACTCGTCTCTCAGTATTCATTGTAGCCACTTGCATAAACAACGTATATGAAAATATGCAGAAATGGTTTGTCACTAGTATTACATTCCGTAAATGACAACAACCACCAACACTAGTTGCTATTCCGCATGGGAAGGATGTGCAGGTTCATCATCTCCGGTCCAACTATAATCAACCAGTGGACGATGAGAACCCCATTTACCACGTGCTACGATGGGTGCACGCTTTTTGTGTACCTTGGTTGATGAATTCACCTGATCTTTGGACTCACAAAGATGAAGAAAAACGGAAGAGTCTTCTTCCTTATCTTTGTTTCCTTGCGGAAGTATAAGATCTCTATCTACATTCCACTCCATCTGACCGTTGCTAACAATATCGTCGTCATTCTCCTCAAAGTAACGGTCTTCTGAATCCACTTCCGTCGTTCTCCTTTTACCAAGAAACGAAACAGACTCTTCATGGCTAGGGGAAATATCTTTTCTCGAATTGTCGTCTACAACTCCTCGGTATTTTTGCACAATAGGAATATCGCCAAAGATGGAAGATAATAAGTGGTGCTTTCCAATATACTGGATTAACAAAGTCATTCCACTTTTCTCTATAAAAGACAACATTTCTAACAATGAGCAGTAAAAAATATTCTTCCGACTAGCACATCTTTCAGCACCACGAAATACTAGGTCCATAATATTTTCCTTCACTATATACCGATTATAAAACTCATCTCGTTGTCCAATACAATGACGTACAAGTCGCAATGGGTATAATGAAATACAAGTATCTTGATAACCAAATAATCGACAAGCCTTATTCAATGCATTTAAGCGCCATATAACATATTTTGGTCGATAACCATGACTCGCTACACAATGACTTAGAATATTACAGCTCTGACAAGCTGCAAGAATGACATTATTTCCAAATGGCGCATTCGAATAGCAAGTTGACCGACTGGAGTCTTCCAATGACTCTGTGGGTTCCAAAGAGTCAAAGGCTGCCAATAACTCATTTACAATGTCTTCGTAAAACAAATCCAAAAACTCATCCTTTTGTAGGAAATCCTTTGTTGTGTCGGGGTCTATCAACATACATATAATATCAGATAACGTAGACGAGAGCGCAAAATCATCTTCTCTCTTAAGAGCAATAACGATAGCTTTGAAAAGATCGACATGCCTTAAAATATATTCGCGCACTGGCGATGAGAAACTTGTCAACAGGATCAAGATGATGTTTGCACAGAAAAATCTTTCTTGGAAGTCCATCGAATACATTAGAAACTTGGAGCATATGGCAAGCAGATCGTCCACCCGAAAAACGACAAAGAATCTTTCTCTATTCTGCTGATTGTGTTGTTGTTGCGCTTTGCAAAGGTCACACAATTCGTAGATAATGCGCAAGACTGCGCAAGGATACATTTGCTGCTCTTTCTTTTGTCCCTTCTCATCCATTTGAAGATCCTTGAGCGTTTCAAAAAGACCATTTAGAGAGTCAGGACTCGAACGAAAGTAATTGATGATATCAAGGTTGTTGAAAAACATCACGGAGTTTAAAACGGTCAACATATGATCTTCTGATAAAATTGGGAAAAAGTTTTGTTTAAGAAACATCAAACGTTGATTAAGTCTTACTCTTTCGGCTACATGTGCGTCGTGGAAAGTTACCAAGTCTTCCATATTCATCAGTTTCCTAAGATACTTTCTCAAATTCACGCGGTGAGTCACAACTCTCTTTTCTCCGGCTTTCTGACCTGTCATAGAAACATCACTATTTCTATATTCGAGTATGCCAATGATATCATAATAATAAGAATCCGATAAAAGCAATTCCAAAATGCTGCTGTTGCCGGATATAAGAATACTATAAATGATGTTGGATAACTTTTTCAGTTTGGATAACAGTTTAAGGTCTTCACAAATATGAAACAAGTAAATAAATTTTTCTAAAATATTTGGATTTTCTTTCAACTTATTCAGAAACTGTTCTCTCTCTTCAGAACTGGTATTCTTCAACAAAAGCTCGATAGAGTCCAAATTTGACAAGTCTGGTTGTGTGAATACAACTGACGAGTCTTCCATGTTGTCATTTGCTAAACTCGGTTCAGAGTGGTCTCCCTTGTTCCTTGGTGTTGTTTGCAAAAGAAACATATCGTTGTCCACGTCTGCGTGTTCTTGGAGACAATGTCCAACTTTCGTTTCTTCGTGATGCCAATCAGACTGTTGTGAAGCTGTAGAATCTGAACAAAACTTTTTTCCTGGCAAGGTACGTTCATTACGGCAGTCGGTGAGTTGTTCCTTTTCTGAATGGTTGAACTTATTCACCAAACTCCAGAACCTTGTTGCTTCCGATTCACTATCGAAATAGAGTCTAAATGGCTCGGAGTCACAAAAGTTTCTAGTCTTCCATCCTTCTGGAGTCCCATCCTCTCTACTTTCCCCCATTCGTATTTCTTCTTCCAGGTCGTTTCCTCTCACGGCCCCTGGTTGTGGTTGTTCGGACGACAAAGTATTTCGAAAGCAGGTCATTATGTGGCTTTCCAAGTTCCAAATGTACTCGTTCTTGTCTAAGTATGTACAGAATAGGACGTGTTCCGTGTCTTGTTTTTCAAGAGCTTCCAAATAATACCCTGCCTCTGTTGTTTCAAATATACTTACATAAACCTCGACTCCCGATTTCTGTGAACAATTACTATCACTACTCAACAGAGTTACCTGAAAAACTGCTATTTTTTGTAGCCATTCTTGTTCCATTTATTCTCTGTGACCTTCTTATGGACAGCTTGGATGATACATCCAAGTCAGTCGTCAGTCCGCTTCACCAATTTCACTAGCCCGCCGAAATCAAAAGCATCGATGAACCACTTTTTTTTAATCAAAAATGAATTGTAAAACACTCAAAATGGAATAATCTTTATACGGCTTCTAATGCTTGAAGCACATCATTTAACAAGTCGGTCTTATCTTCAACGCCACATGAAAACCGAATAAGACCATTGGTTATTCCTAGTTCCCTACGTACTTTTTGTGGTTGATCAAAATACCCCATGATACAAACTTGTTCTACCAACGACTCGACACCTCCAAGTGATGGACCAATATGAGGAATACTTAACGCATCGACAAAACGAATACCCGCTGCAAAAGTATCCATTCCAAAAGGGTCCCCACAAATCTCAAAAGATAATACCCCTCCAAACCCATTCTTAAAGTGGGCTTTGGCTACAGAATAATCGGGATGGTTACTTAATGAAGGGTAATGAACTTTGGCAATTTTGGGATGTTGACTTAATTCTTGAGCAAGTGCAGCAGCATTCTCATTGTGAGCGCGCATTCTCAACGGCAAAGTCTTCATTCCTCTTAAAAGCAAATAGGATGAATGAGGATCAACTACTCCACCCAATATTCCATGCAAAGAACGAATCCTTTCCAACAAGTCCTTCTTGCCAGCCAAGACACCGCACATCAAATCATTATGTCCTCCTAAATACTTCGTGCCAGAGTGAAGAACAAGATCAGCTCCCATGCAAAGTGGCTTGAAATTATACGCAGTAGCAAAAGTAGAGTCAATACAACAAACAGTCCCATATTTATGACAAAGCTCAATAATACTTTTCGCATCAATCACCCGAATCAAAGGATTGGTCGGCATCTCTGAAAAGAAGAGCCTCGCTCCTCTTTTTAGAGCAGCTTCTACACTTGCTGTGTCTGCAGGATCCACTACAATCGTTTGTATATTCATTCTAGGCAGTACGGTTTGTAAAAATTGACGAGTTCTACGATAACAGTCTCTGGTAGTCACCAAACAATCATTGGGCGATAATAGTGCCAACAACATCGTTGTTACCGAATTCATACCTGATGCAGATACTAGGGCATCCTCTGCCTCCTCTAACATCATTATCTTTTCTTCAGCAGCTCTCGTCGTGGGATTTCCATATCTACCGTATTCGAAAGAGTCGTATTGGCCTTGATTATATGCGATACAATCACTCGAAGAACGAAAGGTAAAAGTAGAACTTTGCACAATTGGCATAGCTATTGCATCCAATATCGCTCTAGCTTTCTTCCCCTGCCTTTTTTGTTCTCCACCGTGAACTGCTTTGGTTGTGCTCCCAGATTCTTGCAAGAATAGCTCACGTCTAGAGTTACCACTATTTTTTCCAAAAACACTGTCCAAAACTTGGCTATCATTATGTATTTGAGGTACGTGTGGGTCACCGTTGTTTGCCAATGCCGAAACATATTCTCTCACAGTAGCATCTTCCGATTCGGTAAAACTCGGAGTTCGCGCGTCCTTGGATAACGCATTTTCCTCAACAGGAACTGCAGAGGCTTTCAAAGAGGTATTCGACGACACTTGGGATCTAAAAAAGGTTTTGGAGAACGTTCCTGTTACGAATCTCTGTCTGGTTGATGCTGGGAGTCCCAACCGTGTCTCGATATGGTTTTTATAAGTTGAAAAGAGTAATTTACTCGTTGTGGTTGGTGGAGGCATTCCTCTAGTCCAACCACGAGAACATGTCAAAGGGGTTGAAACAAAAGCTGAAGGCAACTCTTTGAAGAATTCTTCCATCATTAGAAAGAAAAATGCAGGGCTTCAAGAAAAATTGCGCCAAATTTCTTTTTCACTCGATTTATTTGCCAATCACAACTGTTGTGGTGTACACGCAACTCCTCACTTTGCCTTTTTACTATCATATGAGTTTTTTTCATCCTTGTCTTTCGGTCTTCGATTGAGCCAATAAGTATGAAAATTGAGAGCTGCTGCTATAGTGGCCCAAATTTGAGTGGGCGCCAATAAAAGTGCCGCATAAGAGTCTACTTTATGGAAAGCAAAGATAGTGCTAGCCAAGGAAACCCAGAAACCGCCCATAGCGAATAAACTTGCAAACATATTACGACGTGCAAAAAACAAATACTTGTACGAAGAACTCGTGTCACAGCATGAACTGTAGAACTTGCTGTATACTTACGTTCCAAAGGTTTCCAAAACTTAAATGTACGACAAACGCTGCGCTAGGAACGATGGGGAAATCACCTTCTTTCCTCCAGAGCAAGAACTTTTCCAAAGTAAGCAAAATAGCAAAGTGAATATACCGAAACCTACCAAGCTTGCACTCTGTAACACTTTAAGAGGAATCCATACGGCCGGAAACAACCAGTTTGGTGGTTGCCACACAGGCTTCTTTATGCTTTGGTACCTAACAACAAAATCAAAATCTACTCGTTGGAATATTTGGTAAAGAACAATACCAAGAATCTTTCCTTGGATCGGGACCTTTCGGAGTCAAATAGGGGAAGCCAAATACGACTCCTGCCGCCGAAGAAAACAAAGCTACTTCATCCAGAGGAGAAGGTAAAGCAGATAGTAAACCAAGAGCTTTCGAACTGCTCTTTTCAATAGGTGCAGAAGCCAGAAACAGACGACTAGACGCGCTTGCAAGTTGGCTAACAGCTGAGGCACCGGTTAAATCCATCTCACAATTCCAACAATGTTCAAAATCCCTGCAATATTCTGAGCTCTACCTTGTTACCTTCCGGACAACTGAAGAACATTGTATCTCAGATTTGCGCGCAATACTTTATTATAATGCTGCTAGAATCTCCTCACGATATATGTAAGACCAAATATAGTTTCCAAATGGTAAAATGATGACATAAATGCTACACTTTTAAGAGCAACAAGACATTCTTTGATAAGGGGGTAAAGACTGAATTTGGATTTCGGCCGTGAAGAGACCAACCATCGATGCCACAAGGAGACTATATCGAAGAGCACATAAAGGAACATGGACATAGACTCGACCATTTTGAACGCCTTAGAAAGAAAGAAGCGAGGGAGCCGCATAAAAAGTCCCAAATTGTGAAGCGAACTCGTGGCATGAAGGCCAAGTTGTTGAATAAACAAAACTTTGTAGATAAAGTACAGCAACGAAAGAAGATAGCAGCGCTTTCGCAGAAGAAGGTAGATAGGAGGATGGAACAACCTTTAGTTGAAGGGTCTGTTCCACCTTATTTGTTAGATCGACAGGCAGCTTCTAGTGCAAAGGTCCTTTCGAACACTATCAAGGAAAAACGAAAGGAGAAGGCTGGAAAATGGGAAGTTCCACTTCCAAAAGTTCGCCCAGTCGCAGATGAGGAGACATTTAAAGTCATTTACACCGGAAAGAGGAAAAAGAAGCAATGGAAACGAATGGTGACAAAGGTAACTTTTGTTGGGGATGGCTTCACAAGAAAGCCACCAAAATACGAAAGATTTATTCGTCCAATGGGTTTGCGTTTCAAGAAAGCACACGTGACGCATCCCGAACTCAAGGCAACTTTCTGTTTGGATATTATTGGTGTGAAGAAGAACCCGCAATCCTCACTTTATTCCTCATTGGGTGTTATTACCAAGGGAACCATCATTGAAGTGAATGTTAGCGAGTTCGGCTTGGTAACGAATACTGGCAAAGTAGTCTGGGGCAAATACGCTCAAGTAACGAACAATCCTGAAAATGACGGTTGTATAAACGCAGTATTATTGGTGTAATGAAGGAATATAAAATAAACTGTAGTAAGCCCATAAGTAAGCATTCATTATAATCCGTTTCGATATGAGAATGATAAAATGAGCATAACTTAAACGGATAAAAAACCTTTGCTTTATTTTTGTGTGGAATATAAGTGATATTTCAAGAACGACGAAATGGTGCACTGTTGAGATACGCCTAATTTCGAACTATTTTTACAGTTGTCGAGTTGGAAAAACTAACCTGCTCCTTCTCCTTTTCACTTGACAACTCTCTGAAGCAATGACTTATGAGAGCAAAGCTCCCGTTATTTACACCTTTGCTTAGACGTCCGGGATTCACACAAAGAATATCATTTTTCAGTCTTTGGGTAAACGGCTTAAGGGAACTAGTTATAATCAACAGTCTTGTTTTGCTAGAGTCCAGTTTCAGTTGTTGCACATTACTATAGTCAAGAGGTCTTTGTGGCGGTGGAGGGAAAATGGGATAAAAGCTTTCTTCATCAATCAAAGTTTCACAAAGAGCTGTAATTCTTCCTTTCTGATTGGCGGTTTTGATATAAGATAAAGAACTCAAGTCATCCAATACTGGTATAGACGTGGTTGAAATGTAGACATGTCCAAAACGGAAAGCAGCAGGATTGTTGAGGAAGAAAATGTTGTCTGGTTTCTTCAAAGGAAAGAATACTGATGAGTCATATGCCTTTTGAGGATATGTGAAATGATGAAATACATCCTGTACATGTGGAATCATGATACACTTGGTTGAAATTCTTGAAAAGCATCTTTCCAATAATGTTCCGACTCTCTTTGCCATAATATCTTCATATGACACTTCTGTCGGACCATTTTCTACAACTCGATGATTCTCGTCCAAAAAGGGACCAACCAATATGACCAAATCCGGTTTTTTCGTCTCCACTTTATTCAGTAGTCTCTTTAGTGGGTCATATCGAAGGTTGGTTGAAATAGTGTACGGTCCAGATGCTACGAGTATTTGCATTTCCCTCGTTATAGCGTTTATCGAATGTTTCACTTCATAGTGTTCAGTCTTTTTGTCGGCAGCATGCAAATGAGATGTATGATAGACTCGTTCAGCTTGAAAAGAACCATCCTGAAGCTTCGTACCTTCAAACAAAACTATTGCACCAGGAAAAAGGGAACATGAGTGAATACAAGATACGTCAACAGAAAATAGATGAGATTGTGTACTGTCTACAATCACTTGAATCCCTTTTGGGCCTTTATCTATTCTTCTAATATATCCGGCTAATAGATGCTTTTGATCTACATTAGGAAGATAGTCCCATGATGTTGGCCAGTTTATGGATTCCTGCGAAGACCCTTGTATTTTCGATAACATCATTTTACAAGTCGCTTCAACATGTTGTTCATAAAGCTGAGTAGAGTTTTCTATCTCACCACGAATATTCAAGAATTTACTCCCGGTTTGGCAAACCAACTCGACATCTTCCATTCTTCGTACAGAACCGTCTAAAGCTTTTTCGTAATCTTTCCCAACGTATTCATCTATAACCTCTCCAGTATTTCTCGTCTCTGATAAAGAATCAGTTGGATCCAAGTCTCCTTCGAGAATAAGTTCACACTCAGTTGTAACTTGAGGAACTTTTGGTTGTCTTTTTATTGTCCCTCTAACGGGTGAGAATGGTGGAGAATCAAGTTGGAGACTTGGAGAATCTTCTGTTGAAACAATATCACCATGAAAACTTCCGTTGAGCTGAGAAGACGCTGGCTTGTTCGACCAATTGACGTCAAACAGATCGTCGAGACTAGAAACAAGCTGTCTCGGAGCAGAGTAACCGGTTTGGAAATTGGCTGCCCAAAACTCGTTTTCTTTAGAGCTATTTGTTATCTTCTCTTGTTGAAATTCTGCGTCTAATCTGTTGAGAATATCCACAGTAAGTGCGTCATGGGGTAGAAGATTATTCATCCACAGTAGATCGTGTTTTAACAGTAGCTTCTCAACAGTAATGTGATGTTTCGAACATATTTTGACAATTTCTTGTAGTATTTGTTCATTCTGTAAAACGTCTTCATATCCTCTTTTTCGAAGAGCCGCTTCCACAGCTCTTTGAAAGTCAAACAACTTGTCCATGTTACAAAGAAAAAATGTAAGATGGCGCCAATTTCCCTCTTTGAATGGAATGGCTTTTCTAGCTTCCTTCACAAGTTGTTTATCTATTCTGGGCATTCAACTTCAACAACATTTATTACTCTTCATAATATATCAAAATAACATAAAAATTCACTTTTGGGTAAAACAAGTGAGCCATCTGTAAGCTCATCTATCATGAGGGAGGTTGAGTCGACCACAAAATAGAAGACAAAATTTGAACAAACTCCAAAATTTCTCTGTATGTATTGTACAATGGAAAAGGAGCTACACGCAGAACATCTGGTTCACGTGTATCACATACTACTCCTCGACAACTCAAAGATTCATGAACCTGCTTCAAGTTATGCTGCTTCAAACGCAACGAAAGTTGGCAAGCACGTTGAGTAGGTTCGCGTGGAGTAATGATATCTATATAACCGGGCATCTCCCTCTCTATCAAAAACGCCAAATAACCTGTCAACTGGATAGATTTTTCTCTGATTTGCGACATTGAAGTACGGTCGAATACTTCCAGAGAAGCAATAACTGGAACAATGGAAAACACTGAGGGATTGGATACTTGAAAACCATAAACTCCCGGTGTGCAATCCAAACTAGATTTCATCTGGAAACGTGTTTCCCTACGATTGGCCCACCAACCAACCAAACGAGGAAGCTCTTGGATACCCTTATTCGCATGACGATGATGTAAAAATGCACCTCCAATACTACCAGGACCACCACAAAGATATTTGTAAGAACACCAACAAGCAAAGTCAACGCCCCAATCATGCAAGTGTAGAGGAACATTTCCAACAGCATGAGCAAGATCGAATCCAACAAAGATATCTAATTCTTGACAAGTTCTTGCAATTTTTTCCATCGGAAACACTTGACCTGAAAGATAATGCACTCCCGGCAACAAAACCAAACAAAGTGTTTCGTTGTTATTATAGATTTCATCCAAAACATCACTTTCTGAAAAAGTAAATCCATCTTCCTTCGGTGCTACACGAATGATGCTTTCTTCTGGAGAGTATCCGTGTAACAGTATTTGTGACTGCACTGCGTAATCGTCTGAAGGGAAGGCTGACGCTTCGATGAGAATCTTGTGTCTCTTTGCTGTAGGACGATAAAAAGCTAAAAGAAACAGGTGAAGATTCACAGTAAGCGAGTTCATACAGGTAACTTCTGAAGGCAGACCACCAACTACTTTAGCCAAATAAGGAATGGGGATGTCTTCGATAGAAGCCCAAGGCTCGGTACCGAAAAAATGGCCTCCAACAGCTTGATTCTTCCAAGTTTTTAGGTGGTTGAGTAGTTTACTTTCCGTATGTTTGGGTTGAAGGCCAAGAGAGTTACTACACAAATATATTTTCGTTTTTTGCTTTTCCATTGTCGACGTGGATTCTGCTTCTCCTAAACAAGGTATATGGAACGCTTCCCGAAATGACGACAATTCATCTTGTTCGTCAAGTTTCGAGGCAAGCAAAACGTCATCGACAGAGCAGTGGAGACTTTCAGCAAGAGTCAGAAACAACATCGATAAACTATTTGCCGTTTGCATGACTTCAAAGGAGGAGGAGGAGGAGGAGGAGACTTGGAAAAATGGTCAAATGAATTTCAACTACGATGAAAAGCCAATGCAATACTCCATTTCTTTTATTAATAGAATGAGTAGTTTTTCAAGGTCTTGAATATCATCGCTAAAAAGCTATCTAGAAAGAGACAAAAAGAGATTTCCTCTCCTCAACAACGATATTTGGAGAATCAGGTCTTCATGATAATAGCAAGATATTGGATTCTTCTCTTTCTCTATACAACATTTAACAGTTGTTTTTCCCTTTTCGGAGAGAAATTCCGGCAGAGCCCATTTGAGCCATTTCTTCCATGAACAGTTATTTAGCAGCTTTCAACTTACAGCTTTGGATTGAAGAAAATAAAGAGTTGTTAAGGCCACCTTTAGGAAATAGGTTATTGTATTATGGTGATTTCAAGGTATTTAGACCTCTTCTCTTGTAGTTCATTCCCGAGATTCATTCAATAGGTATTAATTGTATGTGGACCCAACTTTCGGTCGGACTATCATATTCAAGATGGAGAAGAATTCTTTTATCAACTCAAAGGTCTCTTAATAGATTCTATAATATATATTCAAAAGTATAATTTCATCTTAGGTGATATTGTTCTAAAAGTAGTACAGGATGGAGAGTTCTATGATGTTTCCATCCGTGAAGGAGAAGTTTTTTGTTTGCCAGGTAAAATACCTCACTCTCCACAAAGAGGAGTCAACTCTATTGGGTTAGTGATAGAG